TGCAGGTGCCAATGGCAGGTCCCTCTAGGATACATTACAAGAGGAATGTAAGCGAGGGTAGTTAAGACACTGTCTTTATTGCTGTAATTGTGTAAGTATGCACAGTAAGTATTAGACTCCTATTTCACACATAAAATCAGGGAGCTGATTGCCTTTGCCTTGCAGAACAAGCAGACCTGTGCTTTCTGAGCAGGGCGATGCCTCCTGAGGAGACTTCCGTGTGGAGTTTCCCCCTGCTCCACTGAAGGAGGGATTTATAAGCACTGTAGGAACGAACGCTGCTGTTCACATTAAAATCCAGTAAGTTCAAGTGTCTGGCAAATTGTCCAGTGTCAGCAGTTTAAATCAGATTTACACAGTTACTCACACAAGGGGCTTTCCTGAGTCGAGGTCAGGGCTTGTGCTACGTGAACACTGCACAGCATGTGCTGGGGCAGGACTTGCACTCAGCTTCACCTCTTCCAGGGAGAAGAAATTTGGCCCACCCTGTAGACATGTAGTTTATTAAACCATGTCAGCTGTATAAATTAATTTTTATGACCTGCAGTATTTAATCTCATTAAATAACTACTTTCGGAGCCCATTCCCTGGCGTAAGAGGATTCAGCTGTTCCAGACTTTCTTTGTACTGCAACATGGAATTAGCTTAACACAAATTTTATTGAATTTTTTTCTAACTTATCTTTGAAGAAGTGGTTAAGCGGAATTCCTTGCTGACTAATCTGCCGAGTTACCATGATATTGTGTGCTTCAGGTCTTTGTTGTTCCCGTGCACCCTCAAGCTGGTCTCAGGGAGCAGAACTCCGCAGCGAGCGGTGGCTCTCCCAGTTCCTGCAGTGCAGATGCCGTCCCTCTTTTCACAGCGAGTGTGCACAAGCTTTGCAGAAGGAGAGAGAAGTCAAGGGAAAGAAAAAGGCGTTTGGGTGGACAAAGCCGCTCAAAAGCCCATCAGCAGCCCGACCAGGCAGCAGCCCCCAGATCCATCCAACCACCGACACGGCGGCTGTGCTGCCAGGGAGTGGGCGGGTGCTCGCCCAGCGTCTCCCGTGTCTGGGCATCTGGGTCTGCAGTCGCCACGTACAGCGTGGGAGGAGGAGTGGGAGGGAAGCGCGTTCAGGCTGCCCGCTCTAGTATTCCCCTCTTCTCTCGAAACATTCAGCTATTTTCCTTGTAAAATGCAAACTGTGCATTAAAGAGGCAGCATCAAGCTGTTAGAAGAAAGCTGTTTTAAAAAAAAAGACAGAAAAATAGCGTAAAATAGAGGCATTAAGAGTTTAAATTTCCTTATGCTTGTTGTTAATGTATTTTTGCACTTCTTTCTGTGTAAGAAGATTTAAATTTCTACCAATGTAGTATTGGCATAATATAGTAAAATCGAACTATTTCAACAAAATCATTGCCATAGAAGATTTAAAAGCAGCAAATGAATGCAGTTTGCAGTGACGTAATTGAAGTTGACAGTGTGGTATGTGTTGAATTCAAAAAATATTCTATTATTTACTTTTTCCTCATCTGAATACTGTTGTGAGGCAAAAAGCAGGACACTATAAAAAATTCCTTAGTGTCTCTAAATTCAGCTGCTCCTTTTTCTAATTCTGGATAACTCTCGAGGTTGTTTAATTAAGCATAGAAATAAGGCTGAAAAATCAAAGATGCAGCAGCATGAAAAAATCAACTTTTTGCAGGTTGCAGCAATTGTATCTGTTTTCCCAGGTAGCTCAGCTTTTATGTAGCCAGGGACATTTTAAAGAGTATTAGCATGGTTAGATGTGCTGGTTAAAGGTAAGTTTTGATGTAGTCTTTAGAAATATTGTATTGTGTAAATTAATACAACTCAAAAGAGAGTTCTCTAGGTTGGACATGTCAGCTCTCCAGCATTACCCAATGTGTTTATGCTCCTACTACTACTGTCTTCTAACATCGTTTATACAGGTTGTAAAAGCCTCTTGCCTGGCACACAGAGAACCCGAACGGAGGTGAGTTCTACTGACGAATTAAAAGATGACTTTTTAAAACAATATCTTAAGCATCATGTTCTCACTTCATCTCTGCTTTGTACATTGGACTGGTATGCCTTGCAGCTGCTCAGGCACTAACAGGTATGTGTGAACCAGGGGTGTTATTTCACAGTAACACGTTAAACTGAATAATGTCTTTTTTTTTTTTTTTAAGACAAAACTGAACTTTTGATCTAACAGAAGATCTCTTGTACGGCTTTTTTTTTCTGTGACTGTGACTGGAAGCTGAACATCTAGAGTGAAATTGTCCTGGATGCAACCTCAGGCAGGAGCACCTCATCTTTTACTCTCTAGACTACCTACCCTGTTAGCTAGCAGTGGGGTTAATGCATATGATTAATTCTGCCAAGCCAAGCCATTTATTCCAGCAGTGTATTAGCCCTGGGAAATGTCATCCCCTCTGCATCACTGGCTGTTGAAATGAGCTTAGCTCTCTCCTCCACCCTGCTTTCCCTCCCCTCCCGGAGAGCACCTCAAAGCCCATTGCCACCCCCTGAAAAGCTTGCTCAGATCCTGCTGGACCTGAAGTGCGAGACCTGGTGCCAAGTCAAAGACTAACACCTGTTTCTGTGTAACGGGAGAAAAAAGAAGCTGTAGCAATAGGTCTGTACACCGTGGAAGCACAATTAAAGTACTGAACTGCATATATGAAGAGCAGCCCGGAAGAGAGACTTTGCTGGGTAATTTTCAGCTCTGGCATTCATAAAACTGTGCAGGGTTTAAAGCTCAGAGAAATGCTAGTCTCACATACATATGAAAATCCATGAACATTTGTTTTTTCCTTTACCTTCAGTTCTGTAGAAATGTGAAGGTTGACATCCCCGTATATGCATATGCACAAGCTGTAAACCCCCAAAGACAGCAGATGCTGCTTTGGAGAAAGCCCAGCTCTGAAATAAAATATTTAATATTTATAGATCAGAACTGAATCGCTTCGTTGTCCAGGTACTTGAAGGGAAAACTGTCCTGGAGCTCTTAGAGAGAAACATTAGTGGAGGATAGGGTGAAGCCCAGCAGAACACTTTCTGGAATGGAAGAGTGAGCTTTGACGCTGAGCCAAGGCCAAAGCCCTGCAGGAGGATGCGATGCTACATCTCCGTGGCTGGTTGCCAAAGCAGGGCTGGCAATATGTTGCTTAATGCTTTGGTGATTGGAAAATAAACATGATACTGATTCCTCCTGTTTAAAAAGAAGTTTAGTAAGTTAAAATAGGACAATAGGCGATGGCAGATAACATCCAAATTTTCATTTTTTTATGTTTCTTCCATTCTGTTTTGTAGACTCCTCAATCCATAGGTCATTTAGACTAGTCCTTAGTAGAGCGGTTGCTACTGGATCGATACAATGATAATTTTAGTTTACTTGCATGTAAAATTTATAAAAATATTGATAACTCTCTTCACAATATGGCCAACAGATCTATTAGGACAAGGCATCCTATTTCTGAAAGCGATGTTTTAAATTAACTTCAGAATTTCAGAGCTGGGCATGCATTACTTGCAATAATATTAGCACTTCAAGTTTAGCATCAATAGCCCTGTTTATAATTTAAATGACTGTAAGGAGAATCTAGTAATAAGCACCAAAGTGTCTTCGTTAATTTTTAAAAGCTCTGTGTACGTATTCATAAGTCAGGGTGAGGGAAAAGGAGAATGATCGTGAGAAGGAGAGAAAATTCATCTTTGTATTTGCTTTCCCTATGATTTCTTTTCTTATGGTTTCAGACCAGTTTCTCTCTCTCTCCATCTCTCCTTCTTCTTGGTCCATCCATGTAGATGGAGGAAATCTTTTCTACAGGTTTGATGTGCCAGAGCCAACGGTAGGATAGCATCATTCACAAAATACTGATTTAATATTCCTATCTTGCTTTTCCTTCTTAAGAGAGTATGTTGTGGTAAAACAGCTCTGTGTATCTAAATAACTTTGATTTTCTTTGAACAACTCCCACTTTGGGATGGACTAGCCCTGATGGGATTGCCTGATGTTGCCCAGAAATGATGTTGGACCTGTGCCTTCCATACTGCTTATCTGGAGGAGCTGTTGCGCATCGTGCTGTGCATTGTGTCATGACTGATTGGGGCCATTTCATTTGTTCTTGGGTAGTTTTGATCCACAAAGCCTTAGTTAGTACCCCATTTTTTATGATTAGGGTGAACTTTTGGTATGAAGCCCCAAAATTTTGGGTGACAGCAGCCTACATCTATTTCTCAGCTTTGAGCATGGGCTGCTGTGGTCCAAGTCTTATCCTCAAGCACGTGTGATCATGATGAAAAAGAGGCAATGAACAACTTGGCTAACACATGCCCTGTGGCTGAAGTGATCATAACCTGGCACACGTGGGTTGGCCCCAACTGCAACAGGTCTGTGGCTGAACACATGCAGGCAATAGCCAGGTCCTGCACACTGCAAGCCGTCAGCGCTCATTTTTCTGAAGGCATGAGTTAACCATCAGATTTTTCCAGTGTGTAATGGGTTTTGGGTTGTTTCAGGTACCTAAGAACTGGGAATGAATTTTGTTCTCATTCCTCTATGCCTGAAAACATGTGGGGACTGGGTGTATTTGTCTTCATTTTAGAAATGTTCTTCTTTTTTTTTTTTTTAATCGATTACTTTAATCAGGAAAAGAGCCAGACTCCATAACTGACATTAACAGAGATTTTATCAGTTATTTTGATAAAAATCAAAATACGTGTTTGGACCTGAAGTTTTCTCTTTGGGGAGTCTGGCTGCCCCTGGGTTGGAAGAGTCTTGGTGCTGCTGCTATCTCAGTAGCTGCCATCGGATGGGAGAAAAGCTGTGAGGTTCATTACTGCTCTTGGAGGCGGGGAGCTGCTTCCTGGGCATTTGTGAAAGGCATTAGTTCCTTTTATATGTCTTAAGTTTTACTCTGTTTGCCAGTTTCAATTTAAAAAAAGTACTGGATGATCCCAACGGCTAGAATTTGGGTTCAGGTTAATACCTAGCTTTCCCAGCACTTACCATTTCAAAATACGAAACTAGATCTTGCAGAAACAACCAGAATTGCATTTCAAGTACTTACTAGTTCTGAATAGACAAAACCATAATTTTTTCAATTTCATTTCCATTTCCTTTTATATCTGGAATAAACTCAAAGGTATGAGAAGAAAAAAGGAACTGATAAGGATTAGATGTCAGATAAGAAACTTGAAATAGGTTTTTAGGAGCAGGCATGAATAATCTCCATCGCTTCACTGCAGCTATGTAGGCCAGCTGCTTTTCTGCCTTTCTCAGCCACTTGTGAATGCCAGAAAGGGGTGAGAATGGTCTGAAGGATAGAAATAGAAACATCTCACAGCTTCCCAGTCCCACTTCGAAGTTCCTTACTTCGTTTCATGGGTATCCCAATGTGGTTCTTTGTGATTTCTCAAATTAGCCTGGGTTGCTGACTGTAAAAGTACTATTGCTGTGTGTTGTAGGTATGCTGTATTTTTAAAAGCAGAAGTATGCTTAAATAGAATGACAAACCCATCCATTTAACAGTGCTATATTTTCATTGAAGTCAGTGGGCAGGGTCAGGTCCTGATATATATATTTACAAGAACAAGCAGGTTCATACACAGTGATTAACTGCAGTGGCAAAGCTGACAGCAGGCACAATTCTGTGGCGTTTTCCCAAACAAATCGTGGTGATGCTGATCTCTCATTACCTTGAGGGATCATTAAACTACATTTAAGTCCAATTGCCATTTCTTACTCCATTTCTCCATTACAGAAACATCGTGTTCAGGTGCGTGTCTCCTGACTCAAATGGTGACACTGTGCACAGCCAACCATCCACCCCAGCTTCAGTGAGACCCTGGCTGTTCTGTAAGAGCAAACCCTTTTCTTGAGAATAAGAAATACTGCGCTCTTAGAGGTTGTCAAGTGATTTGTTGATATAGCCATAAACATATTGGAGACTTCTGGGTGTAACGTGTACCCTTGTTTGCATGCACAGAGCGGTTGGACCAGGCAGAGGCTGCGGCTGCGGAGGGGTCAATACCCATGTGGGTAAATGCATTAGAAGGAGCATTAGGAAAATGTTCCTCCTGGTCACAC